TGTTTTCCTCAAAGTTTGAACAAAGTGGCGATTGTGGTCACACTGAGTGCCTCCTTCGCACCACGAACAAACGACCGACCGACCACGTCCTCTCGCGTTCCACATCCCCGCTGCGAGCACATAGCTCAACTCAGCGGCGAGCCGCGGCGTCGCGTCCCCGTCGGCGCGAACAAATGGGCGAGAATGGCCACCAAAACGTCCGCCGGTCGGCAAATAAATTCACACCCTGTCGATGGCACTGCGCGCCGCGAGAAAAGCGGCCGCCGGCTCCCACCTCCGGGATTTCGCCTACAAAGACCCTTCTGCGAACCCGACTGGAGCCCGTTTACAGAGCAGACACGTACTAAACGCCACTGGGATTTGAGCGCTGTCGTTCAAATGCAGCCTCTGGGACGACTGTCAGCTGCTTTTCAAGGCCTGGATATTTGATCTCAGCCGAGCATAAGTAAGCCAAATGCTCCCGGAAAGAGCAGCACTCTATGCAGATTTCAGATGCATGCCAAAATGTCACATGCTATGTGACAGGCGCCGTAATATTCAGGTCATCGTTGGAGATCGGCGGACCAATACAGTCCATTGTGTGGCTCGGTGAACTCAACTGGTGACGATGACAAGCGACGGCGCTTTATCGATTTGGCCAAGACATAGTCACCAGTCGACGCCCAAATATCATTAAATCTCAAGACTTGATAAAAATGTACTCATATTGAAACTGGACTTTAAATTATGCAGCTCCGTGTTTGCGAATGTAAAAAAAAAATGAAAACTGCAAACATCATCACATATACCTGTCACCTATAACAAATAAAGAAGCAAGTCTTTTCAGAACAACACTTCTTACTAACAAGAAATCACCAGCAAGTGCAAATCATACCAATGGTGATTCTTAGTGCAAAGAAATTCAGAATCCCAGTGAACTATCGTGCCCCATCTCAAAAAGCATACGTCGGCAGCACACAACAGCGCACTGCCAGCACCACCAGCCGATACAATACGCCTTCGACGACCGCTGCCAAGCTATTTTGGCAGCGGCAGTCGCAGCTGGGCCCGGCAACACTCTGAATCGCCAATAGCCTCGGCGATGGCATATTCACAACCAATCATAAATGGATTTATGTCCCGTTCAATCGCATTGCCTCCGCTCAAAGCCGGCCAATACAATATTTGATGGCGCGTTCGGCTTTGAATGTCGCTGTAATCAACAGCACAAGCCAGCCACAGAATGTGTGAATACCGAATTCAATGTCCCAAAGGCGGGAGAGCAAATGTGATACCAAAGAATGCCACCAGCCGCCAGCCGAAATCCAATGATAAACATATAGCAATGTAGTGAGAGGCATTGAACACCGCAAGAGTCCGATATTGAGTGAATAGAAAGAAACATTCCTAGGAGTGCAATGTTGAACAATGAGAGCGCCGACAGAGGCGAACAGGGCAGGGCAAATGTGAAGCAGAACAGCATGAATATCGTAAGAAAAAAAACATGAAGGTGAAACTTTGCAGTCAAAACTAAACACCGATGACGTAACTCAACCAGATATAAAAAAACGGTGTGCATTTAGAGTAGGGGCTGAACGCCAGTGGCGAGCGCACGGTCTAGGCTGAACCTCGGGTCGTACCCTCCTCAAGGGAGGGGTTCCGTTGGCCCGTTCCTGGGGTCGTAACCTCCTCAAGGGAGGGGTGCCGTTGGCCCGTTCCTGGGGTCGTACTCTCCTCAAGGGAGGGGTGCCGTTCTTGGCCCGTTCCTGGGGTCGTATTCTCCTCAAGGGAGGGGTGCCGCTATTGGCCCGTTCCCCGTCGACCGTCGGCGTCTTTCTCCGACGCACCGTGAAGATAGTGGCGGCAACGACCGAGCGCTAATGGAGAACGATATCGCCGCGACCGACGACACTGCCACCGCTGCCGATGAAGACGCCGATACTCGTGAGGTCAACGGGAGGAGCACCATTGAACGCTCGCCAAACCGGTGTCCTTCGGGCGTACCCAACAGCTGCCTGAAGCAGCTGCGATGGTCCACTAAAAACACTAACGATCGTATAAAACATCGAACTGAAGCAACGACTCGTTGACTTGCCGTCGTTGTTGCCTTATCGGTAGATATTCGCTGTTGGTTCTTCGGTACCAATCTACGCAACCACCGCGCTCAGACGCTAACGAGCCGCGCCGGTGAGTGAATGCACGGTAACCAACAATGGCGTGAGACCGGTTACGAGCGGTGGTGTCAATGGACTGTCAGCGGGGCGTCATCAGAGTCCGAGGGCGTCATCGACCTCACCAGGCCGTCATCAGCCATCACAGACAGGAAGCCAGCTCGGTCAGCCACTCATCAGTGATGGTGTCAGCAGTCGTCAGGCCTTCACCACTATCTGTGGCCGTGGACACCCACCGCGCCGCACAACACTGCTGTTATGTGGCCAAACGCAATACATCCATTTCCCTGAACTGAGCCAGTAAAAAAGGAGATATTCAGCCTCACGTGGCAACAGCGGTAGGACAATTAATGATAACTTTGAATGAGAATACAAATAATGGGCTAGTTTTTGTGGGTCTAGTCTCCATAAGGACCTTCAAAGGAGTCATATAGTCGCCCTAGCCTCTGATGTACAGACAGCCTAATATTCCCGCATATTTGCCTGAAAGCCCTTCAAAGGCATACTAAAAACATGCCCGTCTCTAAGATCCCAATATGCTGCGTTCGATCTGCCCTCGTTAGGGACCGCCAGTTCGCTTCCAATGCAAGTCGGCGCATAGGTGGATCCAGAAAGACGGTCTCGGACGCTGCGGGGGAGGGCATACCCCGAAAAGGTTTCTCCGAATAAAAAAAAAAAAACAGCTTTTGATTCCCTACGTACAGCCGTGCAGTTTAAAATGAACTTTTCTGAATGAGTTCTGTAATTTTCTTTCTATAAAAGACAAACAACATATTTTCATAAATTTGAGGCGCTACGAAGGAGCATTTGCCCCAAGTCCCCCCCCCCCCCCGATCTGCCAATGAGTCAGCGACGGCTGTGCATCCACCACACAAACACTGACACCGGCAGCAGGGCCCAGAGCGTCGCTCTGATCTGCACTTCAAAGGTAGCCACCTAATGGCTGCGGCACCCCCTGGAGGGGGGGGGGGGGGGAGGGCGACGCTCCTGGGCGTCCGCAACGACACTGTCACCCCAACACACACAGCTAAGGAAACGCGCAGTCAGCCATGGTTGGTGCTTCAGCAGTCACCTGGGGTGATGAAAGAATAGCGTGCGGCGGGGTCACTAATCACTATATCTACCTACAACAGAAGTAGACGGCACGGAAAACCGACAAATCAACAGGTGACGAAATTTGGTAAAAGTTTCCTTTTGCGCTGAGGACGACTGTACAGAAAAATAAACAGCACAATACCTCGGGTGCTTTGCACCGGAAAATCGGAAAAATTAGGAAGCCTTTCTTTATTACTGTCATAAAAAGGTATCAAAGAAAAGCAGCCCCATAAAAACAAGCGATCAAAGCCGACCCTGGGCCCGGCTCAGAATGTCACCCATCATTCCACACGCAACCAAGTGGACGGAAAATCACTTTACCGAGCGGCGACTGCTATATCACCTGCCCTATAGACGCACAGAATTCGTGCACCTTTCATGACAATAGAGCACACTACGTCGCAGCGCAATCACTATGCAATTTATATGCAAAGCACCTCGTAAAAATGGATTCCACCGATCGAAGGTCCGGAACTTGCGTCGGAACTCCGCCGCGCGCTGGAGGGAGCGAAGGCGAGGCTCGGACGGTCTCGCGCCGCACACTACACCGAACCTCGTCAGTCGAGAGAGTCTCGAGGGAGCGTTCGCGATGAAGGACGAACTCCGAGCGCGTCCCGACGTTGACCGGGCCGTGCGGGCACACACGCGCGTGGTACAGGTCGTCTGATTTCCCCCGGCGGTTGAGTGATTCCTGAAACCGCCGCAGCCACCGCCCGGTGCCGATCTCCAAACGCAGTCGCCCCCCAGTGGAGCTGGCTGAGAGAGATGGGGCTAATTTGGAGCCGGCTGGACCGAGCACTGGCAATGCTGCCACTCACCCATAAAATCCCAGATGAGGTTCGACGCACCTAAGACCGCAAACGCCACGCTCACAAATGGCTCTTCCCTAGTTTACTCGAGTGGTAGTTGGCAATGCGCATTATAAGTTGCGTCTGAAAGTTCTACACTACACTTCCAGCGTTTGCAAGACATTTTGTAAGTAATAATTTCCGGGAAGTGCAGCCAAGTTTAATCTCGTAACTAATTTTGCAGTTATTAGTCTCCAGTTGACTCTGGACAAATATTTCGCGTCAGGAGAAATATGTTACAAGAGGACTATCCATATTTCGGAAAACATATTAGTAAGCAAGGCTCTTAGTGGCACAAACTGTTAGTCAGCAATATGTTGACTAGTTATGAGGCCCATAAGTCATGCAGACATTAATGAACACTAGCTATATGGCCTGCTTTCCGAGGCCCCGAGTCGGTGGATTGATAAAGCCATTGATTTAACAGTGAGGCGCATAATTCGTTGTCACAGCCTGACCTTGAGGGACTCAAGAGACCCCAAAAAGCAAACACTGACAGCTCGAAATCGACCCAAAGTTCGTCCAGCACCATCAGTCCATTTCAGTTCCGCGATCGAGGTATCAGCAACCCCCTTCTCCGCCCTTCCTGTGTGCCACGACGCCACACAAACGCAAACGCTATCATGGACAACGGCACTGTCTCGACGTGCCACAAAGTCGCACCACCCAGGTTGCCCTCACCACGCCGTAAGGTCGAATTCCCTAAAGATTTCTCCTGATCTCCCTTAAAGTGGAGTCGTACTAACGCAGGACAACTCCGATTTGTTCGGACTTTGGAGAACGCCAACAGCGGAGCCATTACGCGCCCAACAGCGTATCTAACTCTCATGCCGTACTCTCCGTATCGCCTTACTTATGGGACCCTCCGATCCACACCACACCTCGCTATATACCCTCCCCTCCCACTCTACTCACGCAGGTTCTTGCAGCGCACCACGTCGGCACTGAAGGGCACCAGCAGGTAGTCACAGGCCTCTCTCAGCTCCGGCACGCTGACAGAGGGCGGACAGCGCACCACGCCCGTCTTGTAGTACTCGAGTACGGCCCGAAACACGGACGAGCTGATACCTTCGGCCACGTTGTACTCGCCGCGCTCGTTGGTGCGTACAAACTCCAGGCCCGAGGAGAACATTCTGTCGGTGAGACAATAGGGGGAAGGTTAGTCCAATAGGGGGAAGGTTAGGCCAAGGAGTGTGGGGAGATTGACATAAATGGGTATTGGGTAGAAAGGGGAAATATTTTATCGTAGAGGCGTATGAGACACGTATCTAGGTATTTTCTGTGGAGAAGCGATAGAGAGGTTGGACGAATATTTGGGTGGGAGGCAGTGGACAGACCTATAAAAAGCGTGTCGGTTTCGTCAAAATGCCGATAAAACGGGATTCTGGCTAATTGGACCACAAAGTATCGTCGAATAAAAAACTACACACTTGAAATGATCAATTAAGTCGGACAGGGTATCCAGTTCATCGTTTCTCTGGTATCATGACATCAGAGCAGCTCAGCCCAACAGCCCAGCACAGCTGCATCAGGTGACTGGGCAGGCGGAATGGACCGAAAATAACACATTACAGGAACTGAGCTCAGACATGCATACAGTCATGCATTTGGAAACCGGTCACACACCACAATCTGAATTCTGGATACCGTCATAGGGTTCGATGTGGACCGAATAGCTGATATTAAAGTGGGAAAGGTGAATAAGAAATGCAATAAACCCTGTAGCCTTCGACTTTGACTTCACCAAACGACCATTGCCCCGTTCAACGGACGCTGCTCACTGAATATTTCATGCAACACAATCTTTTGCATGGCTTCCGCGTATCCAATACCCCTTTGCATATGCATCGCAGCATCGTGCGCAGGTCTTCTCCGAACGTCTTGACTACCTTCTCACGACACGATAGATTCTCCAAATTGCCGCTCTAGTACCGTGGAGAGACCCAAACGTCTTCATCCATTTCATTCCTACTGAGAACACTCCGTTGGGAAAGTGGGTGGGTGCGCGTGGCAGCACTGAAGCTACCGCTTGACCGCTCGAATTCTTGGCACTCATCCTGCGCAGTGCGCGCACATAGAAGGCCGGTACTTCAATAGATGATGGCGACCAGAGAAAGAGCGCAGCTTCTGTGCAGTTCTATTTGCTGATACTCGGCCCAGATGCCAACCGGAGGTTCAGTTTTGAGCGATAAAGGCAATGACCTGTTCAAAGGAGCTAGCTTAGGTGGAAGCCAGCTAAAAAAGGACAAAACCCGCTTGGAAACTGTATGTACTGTGCTGTCTTTGCTGTTCAAAGCTGTCTGCGTAAATTGAGCGAGCCACCTGTAATAAAACCATCTAAAGTCGCAAGGAGAACGGGGGAGACCGCGTAGCGACAGAAGCAATTGTAAGCGCACAAATACCATTGCAAACCAATTTAAAAGAGCTCAGCACGGAACTGCAATATCTTTAGCATGGGGAGCGCCGAAGTTCACTCTTTTAAAGAACGACACAAGAGGCATGCGAGAGATTGATACGGCTTTCTGCGCTCTAATAAAACAATTTTCACGGGTATACGGGAACGGGTTATCAAGGTTCAACCATTCGATTTGCTGGACGACCTATCAAAAGCGTCTGGGATTCAATAAAATTCGATGGACGCCTGAGTAAGAGATGCGAAGGAGGATCCAATGTTTATTGCTCCATAAATAAACTCCCAGCGAGTAGCCCCACACCAATCCAAACCAACTTCAACAAGGTGAACAATTTTCGCCACGAATAAATATAGGCGCCATTCAGCTAGGTTTGTAACGAGGATGGGTTAAATATTTTCAGAAGTCAGAGTCTAAAAACAATTAAGAGCTAAAGAGAAACAAAACAAAGTGAAACTCTGATTTAAAAATGCACCACAGATCTTTGATTGGCCACAATTGTGCTAATATGAGATAAAATAGAGCAACGTCAAAAAAGCGTTAAAAAGTGTATACGTGTGACCATTTCGCCCGCCAGCTCCGTCCGGCAGAACAGGCACGCCCAGGCTCTCTGAGCAGTCTGCCGGCCGGCGTTCCACCCGGGCCGGGCGCTAATTGTCGGCAGTTAGCGAAGATGATCGCCAGTCGTCAGTAACGAGCGCGAACCGCGCCGGATACTGCAGCCGCCGCCGGCCACCGGCCAATCAGACTGTTAGCTGCCGAGCACGGACAGGGCCGGATGCTGCAGTCGCCACCGGCCACCGGCCAATCAGCCTGTTAGCTGCTGAGCGTGGGCTGCGCCGGATACTGCAGCCGCCGCCCGGGCCGGATACAACAGCTGCCGCCTGCGCGGGGTGCTGCAGACATCGCTCGCCATCGCGTCGGCCAATCAGCCTGCTTGCTGCCGAGATACCGGAGCTGACCCGGTACGGGATATCCGGCGGATTTCAGTTGTTATCCAGTGGGAGGAATTACTAAACGACGTGGTGCTATCGTATTACACATGGTAATTGTTGGTCATACCAGTGTGGTGTTCAGCTCATGAATATGCTCAGTTAGACATCTAACTTTGGGCCTTGGATGGTGATTTGGAAGTGAAGCAGCTTGAAACTCACCAGCGTTATCACTTATCACACAATGAACATCATTCAAAACTGCTCCACGGAAATTCAGGATAGTATCAACTCCTAAGTAGGTGACCCAGGACAAGTTCTGTGAAGCCATTTGACGTTTATCTCGAGCCGCTGGCAATCTGACCCCGACTGCAAACGGCCTGCTCTCAGCCATATAGAGCGGGACACTCCAGCTCCCATGGTGTGCCACTCAGACCGCGGCGGCAGCTGCTTGCTCAATTTGAGCTCGGGAACGGCTTGCAAAGCACATCACTCTTCGCTCAATTCCACGACTAATAAGAAAAGGCTATAGCAACGTGAAAAATTAAATTATCTGATGAGCAATAAACAACTTTTAATTGAATACTAACATTAAGCTATCATGTTCTACCTTCAGTTTAAGCCCTTCCCGAACTATAATGCTAAGATATATAAAAGCAGGAGGCAATACAAAACAGCGACTTCGCGTCACAGTTTTAGACTCAGCAATATGAGCAATACACTGGAGCCCATGGGTGTCCACTGTCCACTGCCGTGCAAAGCCTATCCTCCGGAGCCAAATCCTGCGGGAATTATCGGACCATTTGTCTTGAGTCGGCTGGCGTGCGTCGCGCCGCCGAACCTCCGTTCTCTCAGCTCTGTTCAGGGGCCATCCCTCAGCGGCCCGGCCGCTGCACGGACACACTATTACGCGAATCACTCGTCACAAATCGACAGCGACAAGACCACCGGCCGGACGACGCGGCGTTTCAATTACCGACAGTATCTCGAGCGTGGCCGGTCATCATTTTTCAACGGCCGCGGCTGAGCTATCGCGGATGACTGATGAAATCCCATCGCTCGGAGATTGGAGTCGGCTGGGGCCGGCAGACTGGCGGCTCAAGCACCGCTTCTCTCGCGAGACGGCGGCCGAATACCACCGCCGCGCGCGCCGCCGCGTCCGGACGACAGCGTCACTCGGACAGCTCTGTCCGCCCCGACACCAACTGAGCCACCACCGTCGGGCAATATGAAACCCCGTTAACAAATCACCGCCGGCACTGTGCCACTCAGCACAGCCGTCCGACCGATATGTAATCACGCCTCCGACCATTCATTCGGCCATTAGGCGCGACAAAAAACCTGCTGACACTGGTCATCGACGACGCGTCAGCGACGACGCTGAGTCGGTGCCGATGCATCGCCAGCGACGGGGGCGGAGCGGCCATGGCACGCGCTCGCCGTGGGAGAGAGGCGGGTCGCGATCGGCCCCCGGCTGATGGAGTGAGGCGGGAGATGGCCGTCGGCACAACATGTCAGCGATGGCAGACGACAGAGAGACGGGTCAAACGGCGGCTGATCGCCGGAAGCCGAGAGACAGAAGGCAGAGACGGTGCGTATTGGTGAGCATTGTAATACCACCATCGATGCTGCTGCTAAGGGCTGAACAGTGTTTGGAATGCCTTGGTTATCGACATCAAGTGAGAAAACCATTTCATCAAAATATTTTGCCTTTTAGCTAACGAGAACAACATACTTTGGTAGTTGGTACCCATTGGACTTGGAGAGATACATAGATGCGAGACAAAATAATCTCCTTGCGACCTGCATGTGCTCAATGCTGCTCGTACACGTCTTTTTTTGTCATAAATCCGACGACGCCACCCAATTTGCCTTCATTACCGCATTCGGCAGAACACCACCCCATAGCCGGCACGCCGATAACAGCATTGGTGGCGAGAAAAAGCGGAGAGAACGGACCCCATTTATACCAATTGGGCTGGGTCATTGGCTATTGGCGAGTCGGTACCCTATCGCTATCGCAGACCACTAAGTGCTGGTTCCCGGAACAGCCATCTCTCCGCTCCGCCCGACCTGGTAGTGCCTGCATCCCCATCCCTTCACACACTCACAGCGCCAAACGGCCCATGAACAGCGGATATTAACTACGAAGAGCCCATAAGGCACACGGCGCCGGCCATTTGGCGTAATTTGCAGCGCTCTGTCTAATCAGCCAAGTGGCCGAGTTAGTTATGCTGCAGTCTGGGGTTAATTGTCGACTGTGTGGCGCCTCCGGCAGTCGGATAGCACCGAAAAAGCAGACCGTCCGCCGAATAAGGTTCACGGTAAATAACTCCATGTTCGAATATTCAACAAAGTATCCTTTGAAATACATACGAGTATAATAAAATGATTGGTCGCGAAAACAACTTCAGATCCTGTTCTCGAAATCCTGTCATTACCAGCACTCAAGAAAAAGGTTACACACATAAGAAATGCAAACTTGTAAGACATGCAAACCTTCAAGTCAAAGGCCAATAAATCGGAAGGCACAATCTTTTTCAGACATGTGCGTCCGTGCTCCACGAAAAAAGAAAGGAATAATAATATGTACAAATTGAGTCTCTTAAGAAATACAATAACGGCAAGCCAAAAATAACTTCAAAGAGCTCCTTTGAACAGGTCGGCAATCCTCCAGCTAACTATATTAACTATAGGTAAATATATGCCTCGAAACGGCGAATAATATATATTTAATCGGACCGCGTCCTCGGTATACCAGGTATTATTCGGTGTGCCTAGCCAAGGGTGTTTTAAATAATGCCCGAACGGAGTGAGGGCATTATTTTTCCTAAAATATTAACCGAACGAAGTGAGGTTAATATTTTCAAAAATAACACGAATGAAATGAGTGTTATTTTTGCATTTAATGCACGAGCCTGCGAGTGCATTAAATATAAACACCCTTGGCAAGGCACACCGAATAATGCCTGGTGTACCGAGGAGGCGGTCCGATTACATTTATTATAACGACTTTGCGCCGTTCGTCGCTCAGCCCGTCTGTTTAAAAGGGCTACATTGAGGGATTGGGAAAAGAAACGGGGCTTGGTTTTCTTTTCGGGGAAACACTTGTTAATAACGAAGTGTGTACTGTTTAATCAAATTAATAGCGCCAATTAGGAAATGCAATAGTGGTATAAGTGGATTGTACAATGTCTCGCTCAGTCTCTTATATTCATATGCAGGCCCTCTTGCAGTACTTGTAAAGAACTTATGCAGCCAGGGCCGCCTTCTGTGAGAACCGTATACTGAAAACGCGCATTTACAAGCTCTGGTCTATTCCATCATCTCTGTATCATGTTTGCCTGGGTATACCTACCAGACACTTGGCCTGCGCTGCGCCTATCTCAAGTGGCTACAGCCCATTCTGGGTCTTCCTTGTGTTGGTTGGAACACCTTCTGCTTCTCTGTTCGCCAGTTCTTGGGAGAGCAAACTGCAGTTTTTTCTCGCTGTCTGTATGTACCATTTGTATCCATTTTCTGCATTAATGAGCATCACCTTTGAGTGATCGGACAAAGCAGTGGGCCTATGAGATTTAAAAAAAATAAAATAAGAAGGCGTCTCAAAGCTCTCTCTGAATTTGATTTAGCTCTGTGTTGCCTTCGGTGCCTGTGTTACCTTCAATCTCAATGCAGGCCAATATTTATTTTTTCAGCGAGCAGCTTCTTGTGAAACCATTCGGGCTCCACCACGGAAAGAAAAAGTCTGATTAACAAATATTATTCCCGGGATTAATTTCTGTTATACCGACGTTTTACTTAAAAAACTGAAATCACGCGCGCGTTTAGACAGTCCTCCGATGCTGCCAAAATTACTCGTGCTATCAAGATTTAACCATACTTTTTTAACCCACGAGCCGCTGGGGGGGGGGGGGCATAAAGTTGCCCCCCCCCTTTACGTTTTGTGAAATATCTCCGAAACCTGATGAGCTACGAACGTGAAACTTGGCATAGCTTCAAATGAATACCTAGGCAATGTTTGAGGAAAGTTTAGTGGTTGTAGCACCTAGGATGACGTCACAGTGACGTCATAAAGTTTTGTCGTTTTCCGATATGGACCGTTTCTGATGACGCTGAGCATGAAACTCGACTGTAAATGAACTAGACAGCACCTGCTGTCATCCTAAAACATCTTACTACACTTCCATCTAGTTTCTGACCAATAATCGGTCCTTAACATTCGGTCCCATATATGTGCTGTATCGTGAGGAATATGAGAGTCGCAAATCTATAATTTCACTTATGAAGTCACTGTGACGTCATTTCGAATGGGATCGACACCAAATTTGGACACAACCTCGGCTAGGTATTCAGGAAGATGTGTGCAAAGTTTCGCTTCTCTATCTCTTCGCGTTGCGACGATATCGTCGCAGAAGTAAAGGGGGGGCAACTTTATGCCCCCCCCCCCCAGCGGCCGGCGGGTGGCGCGGAGGCCCAGCGGCCGCCGGGTTAACATGCGTGAACGGCGCAAAGTCGTTATAATATTGCTTAAATATATGTTCATAATTATGACAGAGCAACTGAAATACCAACAATGTCTTATTTTCCCATTTAACAGTAGCCTGGATGACTCATGCATGGTATTAAAGCAAAGTGTTCCTTTAATGATCATATTTTACGCAGACACCATCTATTTTCAAAGGCTCCAGCAAAAAGATGACGAACTACCAGATCAATGGACTCTTTCATCTTAATCTCACCCTCTCGAAAGCGCATAACAGCCGACACTTTTAGCGACACTCCAATAAGTCAAACGCTCCAACTGAGGATAGCGAGGCTGAGAACTGGATATTCCAGACACTGAGGACCATCTAATATATCGAAACTCACTACTTACACACGAGCTAGACCTTTCTCAGTCTCTCATTAGACTCCGATCGACAGGCACCTTACATACGAGCTAGACCTTTCTCTGTCGTTCATTAGACTCCGATCGACAGGCAACTGACCGATCGAACTGAACTCACCTGCCGAGCATGGTGTTGGGCTCGCGTGTGAAGAGGCTCGGGTCGACAATGAAGCGGGTGTGGTCGACGACGAGGGTGACTCGGTCACCGGAGCTGCTGATGACCTCTGGCTGTCCGCCGCTGTGGTGGCGCGACGGGCTGGCCATCGAGGCACCCAGCGTGTCTCTGAGGGGACAGGGGAGAGAGAGTTGGTGAGTATTGCTGAATTACAATGCTGGAAAAGAACGGAAGGACACCATTTGGGCATTGGTGAGTGGGTGAATCTTTCAGCTGTTGACTAAAACGTAGCTACAACGGACATATCGACACAGCAGTACTTATCGACGCAAAAGCCAGGTGACGCAGAGTAAGATGACAAACAGAGGTGACCAGACAAACTTATAAATCTTCCAAGCTAAAAAATATAAATCATAGGTGGCGCCATGTTCCGTGTCAGGTAGTCTCGTTAAAACCGCATACCAGCACCTACCCCTTACCAATCGGATCATCCAGTCCGCAAAGGTCGCAATCCGGTCGTCAGAGTGTTGACTGTTGGTAGCGATAGGGCGTCACGTTCCTGGTACAGGATGTAGGCAGCAGGATAGGATGTGACGAGGTGCCATATTCCTGGTAGTTACCGGATATGTTGCTATGTAGATGACAGGCACAGGCCACTAGCGGTGCGGATGCAGTCAATGACAGGGCGATAACCAACGGACCCGGACATGGTACCAATGTTACCGAACGCAGGCAGCCCATATGTCGGTGGCAGGTCACAGGCGCGATGAGAGGGCGGCGACAGGCACGTTTCTATCACACGATGGTGAGACATAGGACTCTGGCATGACTGTATATATGCGTGTGACGGCAAGTCAATGCCGTAACACGATCAATGTTACAGGGCTGATGAGCTGTCCGGCACCTACAAAGGCTTGGACGCCATCAGTAACTACCGCAAAATAAATCAACACAAATAAAGGCTGAATGACAATGGAAATTTGTATCTGTATTAGGCGACTACAGGCGCTGTAGCCGGCTAATACAAATGAAGAATGGGGACATTATGAGACTGAAAGTCGTGCCTACCATGTTAATATCATCATCGTGGAAATGATTAGGCAATTCGCAAGGTAAGATGATTCCATTTTGTGAACTGTCCCAATACAAAGCAACACAAAGTTGGATTTTTAAGGGAAAAAGTTGAGCTTATCAGATAGGTGAGGGGCGTGTCCGTTAACATCTTTCATTCATGTTTTATATCAATAACTCTGAGAATCCAGAGCTTGAACTAATTAGCAAGCTTAACTTGTTAGAAAAACAGCGTTCGATAACAGTCGTGTAAAGCAGCAGCTCGGCATTACTTATATTCTTCCCGATAGATGGCGTTGGTAGCAGCGCCTGAAGTGGTATACTGTACCGCAAGAAAGCTACATGTCCCGACGGCCGACCGCCATGACGGGCGAGTGAGTGTTGTGGCATCTGACTTCTGACATGGATAATTTAATGAATAACTGAAGGCACATATTGTAAGATAGCCATGTATTTACGCCCTGGGATGGCTCTCGCAACCAGCATCTTTGTCAGTCATTCGGAATCCATACGACCACCGGGAATCTGGCCCGATTCGGTTCCACCCCACCCCACTCTCAGCAATCATACCTCTCGCACCAGGCCTCTCTCCCATCAGCCTCACGTCACGCCAACCCATCACCCGATCCGGCGCACGCCATCCCGGCGTCATCCTAGCGCCGCTGGGCGCCGCGGGAGCCCGCCGGAGAGTCATCGGCTCTGACAGGGCGCCGGCGCCCCTGGGCGCCCCTAATCCTACCGGATCGGCCGCGGCAGCAGCGCCCGCTCAGTGCTCACAGCCTCGGCGCCGGCCGGGGAGACTGATCCACGCCGAGCTGGGGAGACTGAGTCGGCCGGCCGACCGGCGAGTCATTAGCCGGGCGCGTCCGCTGATCCCCTCCATACCGCCGCCGGAGTCGGTCCAGTCATCCCGAGTCATTACACGGCGGCCGCGCTGGCGATCGGTCCGATCGGGCGCTGCGAGCCAGCTCGGTCGGTCTCGGCAGCCGAGGCCATTAGCGCCGTACACAGAGCAGCGGATATTTGGCGGGCCGGAACGTGTCCTGTCATCCGTCGCTCTTCCGTCCACTCTCGGTCGGCCGGACGAAGCAGAGGGAAGGAGAAGAGCAGATAGGGAAGGAGAGAGAGCAGAGAGGAAGGGAGGGAGAGCTAGTGCTGCGCTGGCAGCCCGCCCGACGTCCGACGCTCGCATGCCACGGAAGGAACCGGCTGACGAAGGGCTGCCGGCGACACCCGGCTGGCGACAGCAGCGACTGCCAGACACCAGCACTCGGCTGGTGACCTCGGCGGCGGCGTTCTGCTGCTGACCTCGAGTGGAAGATGCCAAAAATGTACTTATAAAAGCTAGATAAAAGCAGTAACACCCAAGCCGTCTAGACATCTAGGCCATGCTAAGCAGTTACATGGACATAAGTTAATCTTATCGAGCTCGCAAAACGAGTGTTACCACCAGTCACGACTCTTTTAATCTGGAACTCCAGAAGCTATACCCAGGGTGACCCGTGACCCAGTGTGACCCGTCCAAAACCACTGGTTACCCCGTCTCTCGTCAAACACCCTTCCTAACTGACCCATTGAGGCGGGCCATCTCCTCTGGACACCAGTTCTCAGCGACATTAGCGGGCACCACTGGGGAAATTCCCAGTGGCAGCCGCGTGTCAGTGAGTTCCCGACCGCCGCAGCGTCTAGGGACGCCGACCTGACGTGCTCGAGGCCCTATTAAGCCATTAAGCCGGTAGTCGTGTGACTTGTAATTGGACTGAGACTCGGGCCGAGCGGCGGGTCGCCGGGGCCAAAGCCGACGGGACACGCGCCGCGGCCGCCGGCTTTGGAGACGATCAGGGCAGCAGGGCCACCGCTGAGGAGGCCGCTGCTGCTACTGCCGCTGCTCCCCAGTGAAACACTCCGCAGACGTAAACATAACAGCGACTGGACTGGCATCAACAACCGGGCTATCAAAATGGCCCAATGCGCCGTGATGAGCCTGGACACCGGATAAAATACCCAGTCGACCACAGAGCGGTCCACTTATTGGATCTTGTCTTGCGACTTGCGAGCTTACAGAGGTGCGAGGCGTCATTAAGATGAAAAGCACCGGACGGAATGACACTGAGCGTAAACGGACTCTTCTACTATAACAAACAACACAGTATCAACAACCTCAAGCTTCGTTGTTGTCAAACACTTAATTTCATCCACAATCATTACCGTGACGTCAAGCTAGATGTTAAGTGGCTTGGCGAGCAATCATTTCTCCATGGAGAGCAACTCACTCTGTTTTGGTCGCCACGACTCCATAAATCCACATGTAAATGAGTCGTAAATTGAAATGAAGTGTCCCATTCATCACGTACAACAGAGGCTGGCTCAAAATGCTGTAATTTGGTCGTAAAGCGAGACAAATGGACATTATTTGGCACCATCTGGCAGATCAAGTGTGTCTAGCGCCAGTTGAGCTGTTTGGCTAAAACTGGAGCGCTATTTGAAAAATTGCTGAAAAGCTATGTTGAAGGCAATATTACAATATGGTAAAACATACAGCAGTTGTGAATGACGATTTTAATGTACCATAAGAACACTCTTCAAATACTGCATGGAAACTTTATAAGCGCTGATCGAATATTTCAATTCTAAAATAGTTATATAAGCTTCATCGAATCATATTTTCATTAACTGCGTTCATAATACCAGACCCAAAGTCCTATCGTTTAAGGAGCTCAGCGAAGCCCACCGCAGATCCCATCTAGTTATTAATATGCACCACCGAACCTTTTTCCCACGGCACGCAGCTCAGTGGCACGCGCTGTCACGGAGGGAGCGGAAGGCCACTGAACCGGCGGTGCCATCACCAGCGTCCGCACACGAAGCGCGTCCTAAGCACCGCATACGAAGCGTCGCTTAACACCCGCTCAACGCGCATAGGGGGCCATCATAAACGTAAATGGCGCACGGCCGTCGGAGAAGAAAAGACTTCAGAAGGTCGCTCTTCTGTGTCCATTATGACACAAAACGTAGACCGCGGCTGGAGAAGAGTGCCAACGAGACGCGAAAAAAGAACGGCGAAAAGCGTTCATCTCAACAGAGGGCAGCAAAAGGTCAAATGGGGTGGAAATGTAATAAAACAGCAGAATTGGAAGCGGGTCTGCTTCTGAGAGAAAATAACAGATCATAAGAAACACAACTGTGTCCCGAAAACAAGGCGGGCTAGCAGAGCGATTGACACATACAGTTCAGCAAATACTTCCAACGGAAAAATCTTGCTTCTGTTCAGGCCGTCGCCCAAGGCAATATTCCATCCAGCCAGCCTAATGCACTCGTCTTCAATTAACTCGAGCCTTTGACATCATGTAATTCATAATCGAAATGTCACAACCCAGCAGTCAAGTCAACCACCACCCAATTGGACACACCATGCTCCACCCGGGAGGCGGGGGGTCCACGCTCCACCCGGGGGGGGGGGGCCTATCGACAGCAGCACCCACCTGTTCCGTTGAGAAGACATGGGAGACGATGTGCCGGGAGTGGGGGAGTCCGAGCTGCGCCGTCGAACCAGGCACGGCTTTGGTTTGGGGGACGACCTGAGGACAAAGACAGAGTACGTCAGAGGCCCGGTCAGGCACAGCCGCGGGCGGTGTGGTGAAGGGCTCATTAGCAGGGACTCGATATAGCGGGGAAGGCCAGACAAAAGTCTGCATGAAAATAATTCAGGAAAGACGCTGCAAACACAGCGCAGCGCCGAATACAATATACGACATACAACATAATACAATATTAAACAGTAAACAACCGTTGAGTTAATGTTTCGCGCTTATATTATATGTATAATATAACAAGACACCCAGTCTGATGACACTCGTATACCCGGAACTGGCATTCGGTTCGGACAAAGATTTACACTGACATCAAACAGCCACAGTTCCGAGGATATATAGCGGGGGCGCAGCGTTCAACTGCGCGTTAATGCCAGACAGTTAATGGTAAGTGACAAACGAAATTCCCAGTCATTGGATATTCGCTGTGTCGAAGCGCGCTGCTAGAATTATGGTATATGGATGAACGGGGCAACAATTGCTAATATTCCAGTTAAGGGCCTATTCATGTTGAAAGTGAGCGATAAAGCGGACCATTTACAAAAATGAAAACGGAACTCTCGATAAACATATATGTAGTATATACAAGAAGTCAGACATGTGCATGGATCCGAGAAAATGGATCCGGGATCTGATCCCACGGATCCGGATCTCGGATCCGTAGGGATCATAGATCCAGTCTTAAATTTATCGAGAGATCCGCAGGGATCATAGATCCGAGTCTAGTCCGGCACGTGCCACGTGGCCACGTGTTTGAGTCGCGTACCTCCCAGATTATCGTGTGTTTGCCGACTTGTGGCCTTATAGTACGAAAACAGCACAAGCCAGGAACACTGAAATGGTGCAATCAGTGAGGGGACAAGTCCTGCTTGCACCACCGGTGGTCACGTGGCACACGTGCAAATCTGGGCACCTCCGTTGCGGAGATATTTTATAGTGAAATATTCAAATGTACATAACTTTGTAAGTTTAAGTCCGATTGGGCTAGAATTTGGTGGGTGGATGAATTGTTAAGCGAAAGGAACGAGTGCGCCACGTTTGTTGCAGTGCGCCACGTTTGTCTCAATGCGCCATTTTTGCCGCAAATCGCAGAATATGCCTAACTTTGTCGAACATTGGACGATTAGTGTGCGCTGTAATTAAGGGATGGCTGCTTAAACGGCAGATATGAATGCACCACATTTGCCGCAGAGCGCCATATTTGTCTTAATGCGTCAGTGTTTGCGTTTTGCCTACGGCGGGCGTTTTTGCGGCGGTGTTTGCGTTTTTTTTTTCGGTGTTTGCGTTTGGCGGCGGGCGGCTATTTTTGCGGTTTTGGCGGCAGGCGGCCGTTTTTTGCGGCGCTTTGCGGTTGGCGGCGGGCGGGCGTGCGTTGCGGGCGTTTTTGCGGCGGTGTTTACGTTTTTTGCGGTTTTTGTGTTTGGCGGCGGTCGGGCGGGCGATGCGGGTGTTTTTGCGTTTGGCGGCGGGCGGCCGTTTTAGCGGCGGTTTGCGGCGGGCGGCCGTTTTTTGCGGCGTTTTGCGGTTGCCGGCGGCCGGCCGTTTATTGCGGCGTTGCGCGGTTGGCGGCGGGCGATGCGTTTTTTTTGCGGCGGCTGTGTTTGCGTTTTGCGGCGGACGGGCGTTTTTTGTGGCGTTTTTTTTTCTGCGGTTTTCGGCGGACGGGCGATTGTTTTTTTGCGAAGTTTGCGTTTGCGTTTTGCGGTTTTGCGTTTGGCGGCGGGCGGGCGGTTTTTCACAATTCAAGTCCCAACCTTCGGATCCGCAGTAGATCCGAGTCTAATTTTTTGCTTGAGATCCAGTGAGATCATAGACCCCATTTACTTTTTTGTCAACTCAGAAATCCCAGAAAATCACTCGTTGCAGCTCACAAACGTTCTGTTTTAGTGATTTTATGTGATTGCACGTCATTATCCATAGTTTTGTGGCGCTTATTGACGTTGAAACACTTGGAAACCTGATTTCAAATGTTGAGCATGGTGGGATCCACTCGGATCATATGTAGATTCATGCTCTTGGTTTATCGTCAGATCCTATGAGATCATAGATCCAGATTAGATTTTTCACGCCGGATCCGGTGGGATCATATATCCTAGCCTGCAGTTTGCTTCGAGATCCACCGAGATCATAGATCCATCACTCGGATCCATGCACATGTCTGCAAGAAATTTAATTTTAGACATTTCAAATAGCACGTTAAATTTAAATTTATCATTTTAAATGGCTCACATTTGGCCTCGAAGAAACCTGCACGTGCGTTGATAAAACTTTGCAAAAGTTTGTCATTTTCGCTCAGCTGGACGTTAAGGCTGATGGCTCATCAGCCTACTTTACGACAAAGCCACTCGGAGTTCGCACTAATTATCCCCGAGTGTGGTAAACAACAGGCTGAAATAACAGCTTTGAACATCAAAGGAGACGTCTAACTCGATTTGAATGTCTGGAAATCGCGGCATCCCGGGCGCTCGCCTATCAGGCCACGAAAATGTAGGGGGAATACGGAAAGAGCGAGTCAGAAGGCAGGGCGGGGCGACGATAGACGGAGAACAGGTACGGCGGATCCGATGGCCCCAATGATGCAGCAATCACTTGCAAACGTGACATTATGTAGGCGATCAAAGTAGTTGATGAAATGGAAAGACCGATATTGTGATTCAGTTTGAGTTGTTTGGGACCTTCCGTGTTGAAGGTAGTGAAGACTGCACAGCAAATACAAATAGAACATCGCCCTGACCTGACATTCTCAGGGCTAAGCTAACTCCGGTTCCGATTCGACCATCCGCAGCTTGAGATATCAATCGAGTTGGCAATCACCATCCACACCCAGGGGCCATCAGGAGGCGCCTGCACAGGAGAAGGCCAAACCAGAGCTGTCTGACACAGGCCCATCAGAAGTCGCACAGCGCTCGAGGGGTTGGTGGTAGGGGCGCGCTGGGAGCTGTTCAGGGAAGAGCTTAGGAGATCGCCATATCGGGAGACTCGTTGAACGAGCTGATCAATGCTCATGGACCCATCAATTATTGAAAAATCGGTGGCAAAAGGCCAGTATCAGTTCCAGACCAGTGTAAGGAGTACCGATTCAGGACAGTTGCCGATGCAGTCAACAGCTGACAGTTGATCAGTGGCAGCGTCTCTGTTAGTACTGATTCCACTTCCACCATCAGGGTAACAAGTGCAATGGCCCGTTTGTTGTGCGTCGTCGCCAGGTAGCCCTGCGCCCACTCCTCGCGATACTGAGTGAAATCGACCGACGCCCCCGCCATCCAGAACCACGGACCAAGCGGACGGACAGGGTCGCGAACACGGTCACAACTTCCTGACCATGAGACAGACAACCCCCTCAACTGTGAGTGCATACATGTCTGTTAAAACGTGCGTGCAACGCCTAAACAGTGAGGCGCTTTACTGGTCTTAGTTGCAATAGCGTGGCAAAGTTAGTTTCTTGGACACGGCGTATTTAGTTATTGCAGTCAACTACATTAACAAACCCGTAAATGCACTGTCGGAAGTGACCGGAATGCTGTTTTCCCCGAAGGTCCCCGTCAACTCCCATAGGTCAAAGGCTTCAGTCTCATGTCTGACCAGCGGAAATGTATGAATAATTGGCCTTCGAACACGCCATCATTTCATAGCGCGTCACGGCATTAATGAGTCAAGTGCATTCGGAGAATAGTTTTGCGCGCCATTCCACGAAATGTCAAACAGTATTAACACAGTCGATTTCAAAAGCTGTTTGGAAAGTAGAAATAAGCATGGTACCCAGCAGAAATGCTCGAGAATCACACGGTTGTCCGGCATCGGCAACGGTGACCATTTTGGTTTTGTTGTAACCATTGTAACAAATAAGATTACATGTTTGACGTTTCGCGATAAAGGGCATGCAATGAATTGAAAAAGGTGTCGCCACTGAAACATTTTCATATAGTTTTCATATCTTGAAAATTAGATTATAAAAAGAGAGGATAAACGCTAAGCTCATTTTAATAAGACATGTGTATTAGGCAGATCTTCCGGTACTAAGTCAACAAGGCATCAGTTTTATCTACATCTTTTACGGATACTTCAACATACAATTTTGTCTCAGCAGCTTGTTTTCGGCTTCTCCTTCCCATAATCAGGTCAAAACCGTACGGATTGTCTGATCGCCTTTTGCACATGCTCGGGGCCGTCGGACGCCAGCTGGCCGCTAACAACGCTAATGGTAACACCAGCGTCACTGATCGGACCAGCAAACTTTTTCAATTCGGTTTGGCGCCCGCGGGCCGATCGGCGGCCGCTCTCCAACGAACCCGAAACTCGTCGAATGCCGTCAGCCAAAGTGGATTCCCGTGGCGCGTCAGCTAAAGCGGGGCGTACTGAGCCCAGCCGTCCACCGCAATGACCGAAGCACTGTTTCACGGATTGTTCCTGCTCCGGTCCTGATGAGTTGGGTAACAATTTTCGGCGCCGGTTTTACGACAGCTCCGGACCTCGAATGGAACACGTGGCGGCGAAACAGAGGGAAGGTCGTGACCCCGGTGGAGCGGACACGGTGCACACTGGTCCGGCCGGGAATAATCAGAGGTCAAAGGCTCAATTCGCTACGGAATAGGACAGGTGAGCACAGTTATGATGAGCACATGACGGCAAAGCATACACTCACAACTTTCGCATAATAGCGCATTTTTCGGTTCTATTACAAATTTATGACAAATGTTTGAAACTTCAAGGCGACACTTTATTTCATCATTGCTTTCCAATTTTCAATGGCAGTTACGATCTATGATGAAAAAAAAAATCAACAAAAAGAGCACTGTATCCCGTGTTGCTCTAGGCACATCCTGGCCATTACCAGCTCAATCTGACAATACGCATTGCTTTTTTACGTGTGTGCTTTGCGTGATCTGCAAATGCACCAGAAGAGCTCCAATAAAACAGTATCGATATTCTCAGGCACCATTACCAATGCCTCATTTATCGTTGGCTCTTCGCAATATTAAATGCAGGAA